GGAGATGGTACCAATGTTCAGCCTTGTTTCCGCTGCTGTGAGAACATTTCTCTCCGATTTCTCTCGCGGACTAACGACAGATTCAAAGTGATCAGATGTAAACTCCCGCAGCTCACTCTTATGTTTCTTGGAGAGGAAAATATATAAAATTCCTCACTGGCTGTTGACACGACCTCTGCTGATAAAATGCAATCTATTTCACCGGCCAAACAGAGATGGGGATTATTGGCCGGTGAGCACGCGGTAAAGCCCTGCATGAACAATAACAGCGGTGGAATGATAATTTACATAATCATCAAATAGAGATGGATTTAAGATCAACATGGATCAAACTCCACATAAGTTGCAGAATTTGTCTCCCTTTTTATCCAAACAATCACTTTAGATGCTTCCTATTTCTGCATTTTGGTAGAAAAAGCTCTTCACAGATTAAAGGAAATATAAATGTTGTTTCTAATTCTATTTTTTTTTTAATGTATGCATCTAAAATAATGACAATTTTCTTTCTTACCCCGACTGCTTTCGCCTTATCTCCACACTCTTGCAGGACCTCGTTGATGCCTGCAGAAACACACACAGATATGCAGAGGGTGGGGGGGGGAGAGAAAAACGATTCATAAGCAAACTGCGTCTGGTAACGATGAGGATGTTAAGGTAGGAGGAGGAAAACACAGGAGGAAGAATAAAGATAGGGAAAAGGAGAAACAACAGAAGAAGAAGATGATGTGATGAAGAGGAGGGAGATGATGGGAGGACTAATTGCAGATGGAAAAAGAACAGGAGATAATGGGATTAGAGTGGAAAAGAAAGTATTTCAAAGTATTTAAGAGGGAAAAGAATAAAACAACATCAGGATTCAAGCACACGCTTTAATGACCCTCTCCTGTACTTAGGTATTTGCTGGGGAAATAGCAGCAGGCTGTTTTACTGTGACAGTCCTGCAGAGGGAAATGTTGCTAAATCCTCCGTACTGTCGAGGAACCGCCGCATGCTGGAGTTCCTCTGACTGCCCAGAGGAGGAAGAGGAAGATGATGAAGCCGTCGTACGAGGAAGAACGACAGCTGAATTTATCTCCAGCTTTCCCCACAGCTCCACAAACTGTGAGCTTTATGGTCAAGTGGTGATGTTCTCTAATCATGGAGCAAGGTTAAACACACAGCTCAAAGCTCTCTCCATATTGCTTCTCACACAAGAAGCCCCCCACAGACCCCCCACCCCCACCCACCCAAGAGCCAAAATGGGAAGCATAATTCTCCGTGATTTGACAGGAAGCAGATGCTAGGCGGACCGCTGGTGTTAGCAAAATGAAACAGGCTGTTTACACGGGGCCGAGGGGGGGGGGGGGTTACGCCGGTACGTTTCACAGCGCAGGAACAATCTGTTGTCTTGTAGCGACACGGGTGCATGAACGCCTCGTGAAAGTTAATGCAGCATGTCATTTTAAAACGGATTTGGGGTTGTTCTGTCCATTGCATATCAGTATGTTTCCCTCCGTGAGCACATTTCTTTGGCAGTTTTTCACATTTCTGCTCAAATTCACCATTTCTAAACCATGCACTGCTTTTTCCTTGTATTTATCTTATATTGTACATATTCATCTTCAATTTTTTTATTGTCTATACTTTTGTATTTGACTTCATTCTAACTTAATTTGACCTTGCAATGTTTGTGTAATGCACCAATTCACCAAAGCAAATCAATTGTTTATAAAAACCTACATTAAACTGGATTCTGAAGCGTGACTTTTAAACAGTGAAAGTTTGATAATTAGTTGCTTAACTCCGTGGCGTTAGTTAAGTATTTTATGTAACCCTAACCCACTCATTTGAAACCCCAAACCAAAATCTTTTCCTTAACTTAACCAAGTTCTCATGTTACGTAAAACAGTTCTACCCTTGCACAAACATTATCACAAGATACAATCAAGGAAAATATAAAGATTAGATTTTGATGGCTGCAAATGTATCATAAAAGAAAGTAGAGGTATGCCTATGGTATGGTCGTGAGCTCCAGAAAGGCTTCTAATTGACCTTAAGAATGGTTTTCGACACACAAAAACCACATTACACTTTCACTACCAGGGGGAACAAACTAAATAAATAACATTTAGCAGAATGTTTGACTTCCTGTGTGGGAGGGGCCTACCTTGCCGAACAGGAAGCCCGTGCTCCACCTCCACGATGAACGCAGGTGGCTGAGCGGTCTTCGCATTGAGCTACCCAGAGGCATGGCTATCAGCACGGGAATCACTTCTCTATGTTTGAATGTTTAGATCATAAAATAAAAGTCCTCATGACAGAAGAAGATGCGAGACCTCATCATCGATTCTATAACGCACCATCTTCTCCTCTTCCCTCTCGATTGTCTCCCTCTACTGCTTCCTCCCTCCCTCTCGCCCACTCTGTTGTCTGGAAGCACTCCTCCCTCGCTCTCATTATCTCTCATTATTTGGGACTCCCTCCCACCGCCTCCCTCGTCTTCTTCACTCCCTTTTTTCCCAAGCTGTGTGTTTGTGGACTCTATGAGTATTCTGTATGTTTGTGTATGTCTGCTGCACATGTGTTTGACCTTAATTAACCTTCAAGTCACCAAAGCGTGACAAAAGCATGGAATGAAAATAACTTTTCCTCTTCCATCTTTGTATTTCTTTTTGGATCAAGCAGTTCAATTGAAACTATTGAGAAAAAAATACATTTAGGAATGCTATTATACTCATAATGTATTCTTTATTGACTAATAAGGTCAAGTATCATGCAATATTTATAATGGCTGGTCAGTCATTGACATTTTTATTGCATTCCCATAGTTTGTATACATTCTAATTATTTTATTATGCCATACAGTATGATGCATTATAATCCCATATTTTATGCAAAAATAATCATTTTAAATATGTTTGTAATGCGTTATAGACAGGATCTTGCAAAATAGATGTCAGCAAGTAAACAGAAACTATGAATGAATGTATGTGTGCTTATAGTTATAACAGTACTGTTCTATAAACTGAATAGAGCATGATATGGGAATGTTAGAAAGTGCTTTTTTCTTCAGTATTCACATTCTCTATCCTATCCTGATTCCAATATTCTCCAGAGTGCACTTTGATGACCCCATCAGTCCCCCACACTGACCCAAATATGGTCACATTTAGGGCATTTCAACTCCAAACCACCGTGGATGTGTCCGAAAAGGAAAACCGAACATTCCATCAGCTCCCGGTCAGCTTTTACCAGCAGCCGGATTATCAACAGAGTCTCCTCCTCACATAAACAAACAGACCCGGTGATTAAAACGCAGAATGAAGGCTTTTCCGATGCAATTTGGCTGCTCCTAACTTCAAATCCAGGTGCTCTATGACTAAGATCCTTCATCTGGTTAAAGAGAGAGTTAAAAATAGCCAGAATACAAAAAAGGCCAAATTTAAAAGCATGGCTTGAACCTGGAAACAAAGTCAATTTATGACAGCTTCTAGTAAAGAAACACAACAAAGATGAATTACACCCTTTTGAGAAACCAACTGTTACCTTGATTATATCTTTGAAATGATTGGATATATTTGGGATATTGTCAGATGTCTTTCAGTTCCTGCTTTTCAGGCTGATATTTCCTCACACTTTAGACCCTTCTCTTCTCTTTTCTCTGTGTGAAGTCACAGACTGTGAATTAATCTCAGCACAGACTGGTGTACACACACTAATCTATGTTTCTAATCTCACTCTGAATCATCGCGGCAACTTCTGCTGCCGATCTAAACAATCTGACGCAAACACTGACTCACTTTCGTGACTCACAGAAGAAGAAGATACAACACAGGGATGCTTGTGTCTGAGAATAAATGCTGCTTCTGGTTTCATGAAAGGAAAATAAAGTGCCTTATAATCTTAAAACATCTTTGTGACGCTTTCAAAGAATCTCTTTGCATTCCTAGTGGTTCTCAACTCTCCTATTTTTCTGGAATCTTGCCTTCTCTGCAACCCACCGCCCGTGCCCACGCCCTTCATGCTTTTAGAGATGTCAACCTGAGCATGCATGCCTTGGCAGCGGCTCCTGGCACAGAACACACTCCATTTGCAGTGAACCGGAAGCTTCTCTCCTTTTGTAAGCTCTATGCTAAATATGACTTTACACTGGCACAGGCAGGGTCAAACCATTTACCTCAGGTCGGCTGGCTGGATTTAATCAGGGAAGTGTAACTGGAATACTCATGGCTAGTTTCATTGTTAAGATTTTTTTTTTTGCCTTTTTCCCTATTTTTCAGATTAAAAATATGTATTGGAATATTGATCGAGTTAATTCCTCTAAATGTGACTTTAATTTAAAGTCATGAAGGTGTGAACATTTAGGTACTTTTACACATTTTATGCTTCTAATAAATATTGTACCTTTTACTTATAATTAAATAACTCTTATACATTTTCAGATTTAGATCGTCAATGCAAAATGAAATTAAACAAACAAATATGATAAACTAATATCTTAAGTCAAGCTACTCAGCAGTATATAAACTAATTACCATTAAATACCAGTTGCAACACATTAATGCACAAATCATGATAATCCACTAATATAATATCATTCTTAAAAGGAGTTATTTTGATACTAAGTATATTTTGATGCCAATACTATTACTTAAAGGTAGGGCAGGTAAGAATGGAGAAACCAGCTCTAGTGTGCTAGAAATTGAAAGTACGCAGCCGAAAAAGATCTGCCCCTTCCTTCAGACTTCCTTACAGAGCCCCTCCTCCAACACACACGAACGCCCACATGACCAATGAGGGCACGAGATCAGTTTGTGCACAGATGGAAGGCTGACGGGCAGGTAGGCCATCCAGTTACTTTAGCCGGGCCGGTGAAAATAATTGGTCGTGCTTTTTACAGCATTTTTTTATTCATACTGTCGATTGTACAACAGCACCCAAATGTATGTTTCAAAGTGTGTCCACATACATTTGGCCTGACAGAGTACTGTGAGACTTTTACCCAGGCGCTTTTCTGAATGATAACAGGTATGAATGAAGAGCATCTAAAGCATGTCTCGTGGCATTAACACTGAGAAAGAAGAGGTGTTACTCACCGGCGTACCTACATGCTTTAATGCCAGCTGAGGAGTGGGAGGCTGGAGAGAAAAGTGAGACAGAGTCAGAGAGTTAGTCATTGTTTCTCTCGCAGCGAGGGAGGAAACAACATGGTGAGGAGAAGAGGATGAGGAGGAGAGAGAAGAGGAGAGAGTAGATCTGGCTGTCCGATCAATTGTGTGTCAGTTTAACATATGCAGACTTTGCCTGACAGACAAACCTATAGATCTGAAAAATTCTATATCATCGAACAAAAAAGATACAAGCCACTGTTTGTTGACACTTTAACTAAATGTATAGCGAATAATCTGTTTGTAGAATGAAGCAATTTTTTTTTTTCACTTGCATTTTGACCATTATATTTCACATTTAACTATTATTTGGATCATTGATTCAGCTTAAGCAGCACCAAACATTTTGTTATTTTCTTAGAATGTAATAATGCCTACAATTGTCATAAAATGTGCAATGTAAGAAAAACCAATATTGTAGCCTGATAGCTAGACTTATTATCCTGATTAATATTCTAATGTATTTTTACCAATAATACCATATTGCATTATGGGGAATTTAATACATTTTTAGGTGGGTCAGTGAGGACACTTGTTTTATCACATTTTATTGCAAATGTTTATTTAAACCAAGGTTGACTTGCTAGATTTCCTTTAGTGCTTTCACACCTCACGATCAAATAAATGATAACTTGAACGATAGCAAAAAAATAAAAAGGCGAATACCGCTGAATTTCATAGTATGACGAATCATATAGGAGAGAGGCAGAGATGTAAAAGTGGAAAGAAAGTATGAAACAGAGACAGAGAGAAAGTGTGTTTGCCTCTCCACACACGCTCCCAGACACACACACACACACACACACACACACACACACACACACACACACACACACAACAAACACACCCAAACACACACACACACACACACACACACACACACACACACACACACACACACACATAGCTTGACAGTGATCCATGTGTTAAGGAAAATCTCCTAACTGAGTTAAGTACAGCGTCTTAGGCTCTATAAACAAACCCGGGGACTGTTTAACAAGCTGCTGCAGTGCTTTAAAACGGCCAGCGTCCAACGTAAATAAGTGAAAAGTAGTTACTGTGGCCCGGAATGTTCCTAATTTGGTCACATCATCCTCAGTTAATCTTTAAAAATACAAGGGAAAATGCCACTTTTTGACTGAGAATGATCAAATCGCTTTCCCTGCTGCTTTTCTAATCATGTCCGACAATTTGCTGAGCATGCATTCTTCATGGAAAGTGAACGAGCGCTCCCGTTTCAAGCTCATTAAAGTGAGAATGACTCAAGCCTCTGTGTTGCAGTGCGTACACTTTGTCTTGTAAAGTAGCAGCCCCTAGAGGGAAGGGGAATAATCACTCTGACTGCTGCTCGGTATGTCCTTACCTCATCAGTCTTAAAATACCTTAAAACACTTATTTTTCGTGGATGCTTTTCCCCAAATGTAAACTGCAAACTGATGTTTTAGTATGTATTAAATACCTGCATTTAAATACACATGTAGTGTTCATAATCGAGCAGGGATCCTTTACAACTGTCCCAAAATCTACATATTTTCCCTCCAAAGAGAACCCTGAGTGGGGAAGATTTATGACTGATGTTTATCTGTTGTTTTAAATTTGTTCGGCTTATCATCAGTTAGCGATGAGGCATATAAGAAATGCTTCAAGATGCGTCATCAGCAGTGAAGTAGAACCTGCTCTGAAGTAAACATGGATGTTAACGATGCAGGATTTGACCTTTTAAGGAAAAGTTGGTACAGTTTGAGTATCAATAAATACTGTAAAAAATATTAAATGTGTACAATACTACAGTATTTTGGAATGAGAAAGCTGTACAGTTTGGTGAATAATGTGCAAAACTGTATCTTGGATCAAGGAAAAATGTATTTGGATCATTCTGGTTGCCAAAACAAATCTTAAAAAAGTAATATAAAACAATATATGGCCCTTTTAAACTCTCACAGGAACATTTGTGTTTTCTATTTTTTACGTTTTGAACACAGTTTGGCTGTGTTGTTAAATGGTAATATCATTCCTTCTTTTAAACTATATATAGTAATTTAAATTTAAGAGGCGAGAAGAATCATTTATTTTATTTTTTTCTGATATTTTTTACCCTTTTCTGTACGCTCTAAGAAACAGCTGCCTCTGACATCATCACCATCAACCCCCTGTCCCCTCCACAGCTGACATGTCGGGTTTGGTTTGCACTGACTGGGTTTTTCTTGTGGGAAAAGGAGGAAGCTCTTATAGTTATAGCCTCTGACCTTTGACCTCACAGCGCTCCCTGTGTGTGGTTCCGCAACAATCCCAGGGAGAATCATTGCATTATGAAGGGGGTCAACAAGGCCTTTAAATACCATTTCATTCCACGCACACACACACACTCACCGGCTCATTGCTGTTCGGTATCTGACATGATGTGGTGACCTGTAAAGGGAGAAACAGAAATCATGAGTAACACAACTAAAGGATCTCTGAAGTACTTTCTACTGTCAGAAGTGCGTCTATTTTTGTAGCAACAGAAAGGAGGAGACGTCTCTGAGTGTTTCCTCCTGAATGCCTGAGTATTCCCCAAATCACCCCCTGCAGAACAGAAATAGCCCCTGCCTCATAAAGAAGCCTCTTTTTACTGTTCCGCAGTGTGGGAAACTGGTCCCGGAAAAATCACATTTGGCACTGATTCACATTGAGAGAGAACGCTTCCTGTTAAAGTAGGAGCAACTATTCAATGAAGCTGTCGGTTCACACATAGGTTGAAGCATTTAGCTATGTCTTTTTGAATTCTTCTTTCATGATGTTTGGACGGTCTGAGAGAATCCAGGCAAAACCACAAATGGCCTCATCAAGTGTGTCAAAAGTAATTTGACTACACACATTTTTACACTGCGCAATCCCAACACTTTGCCTTGATTAGCTTTTGAGTAAACGTGACATTTAATGTGTTTGTGACCATATTTTACCCATGCAATGAAGCCTTAAAACAATGGAATAAACACAGTACACTAGAAGCATCCATACATTGCCGATATGTGATCTCAACAAAGACCCATCAGCGCTTTGACTCCATTGTCATCAGCCTGAAATTAGGATTTGTGGTTGTTTTGTTAAGTCTATATTGGTCAATTTGTGTTTTTTCAGGGCTGTTTATTTCCCTAATTAATCGCTCGTTCTGTAAAAAATGACGACTCGTGCCAAAAATATGTCATTAAGCATTCAGTTTTGTCTGATAAGCAAATTCTGCCATGTTAGAAGCTGGAAGCATTTTTGTTTTGCTTGAAAATGGACTCAAACGAATATTTGATGATCAGTAGTGGCCTATTAATCAATTGATTGTTTAATCTTTGGGTTATCTAGCAAGCCTGGTGTTCATTGAGATATTGCTAGTGATAGAACAGCTTTTCTTTTGGAAGTTGAACATCAAACAACTGGGTGGCACTCCAGTACTATAACATGCAGAGTTAGGAGCAGTACCTGCTGCCAAGCTCTTAGCAACAGCATCACTTGTCCTCTAATAATACTATCACCTCAGAATTAGAGCGGTATTGACTTCCTCATGTTCCGATGCCACATGAATCATCTTTAAATAGCAGGCTGCTTTGATACTCAACACATTTCGCTCATAGTATCCATGACAGGCAAGTTAGTGTGGCTCCTAATAGTCTGTGCACAACAAATCGCTGATTAGGATGCACAAACAGGGCCTCTGCTGATAGACTTCCATTTGATTGTATTTACTTTACTGTGCACGATAAACATGCACGTGGGAGCGCACGGAGGCATACGTGTGCAGCGAGTGGACGGATGTTTACGAGCGGAGAGATGACAGCGCGCTATCAGAAGACTACAGGCTCGGGCGGGAAGGAAGCGGTTGTAATTAGTTTGCTCTGGGAAAACAAAAGACTCATTGACTTTGTAATGCTATCATGAAGCATATCAGAATACAGGAGTGGGATAGCATCGCTGAGGATCCAGGGCACGCTGATATGTGATGGCATCAGTCCACAAGCTGATATGTGCCCTACTTCAAAAGGCTGACCAACAGTGTGAGTGGGAGACCACAACTACACCACAATAAGAGCAGCAACCATTGACAGGAAAACAATCAACAATGTTATTTATAATTGTAATTTTTCAAAGCAAAAATGCCAGGAAATTGAGATTTTCTCTGGACTTTTATCATATTAAAATGAAAATATTAAGCTTAGGCTGACTTGCAAGGCATTTAATCAGAAGCAGAATCGGGTTTATTGCCGAATAGGGACAAGGAATTTGTATAATGATGCATAGATGAACGCAATGAGGACTTAAAGAGACAAAGAAGAAATAAATCAAGATATATAAAAAAGTAATATCTGACATATACATAAAAGTAAGTAAGTACAAAAATATTAATTAGTATGACTAATTACTTTAATTACTTTGAATTTTACTTTGACTAATTGACTTTGGGAAACTGGGAGTTGTCTCTCTATTTTCTGATATTTTATTTAGAAAAAAACAATTCATAATTTTGTGGACCAATCAGAGCAGACTGGGCTCTGGTTTGAGACACTGGCCGTTTCTCAATCGCGAGGATATTGGCTTCCAAGCCAATATTTCAAGGATGCTACGTCATCAAGTGGCGCAGCAGGACCGTTCCAATGTCCAGCATACTTGGAATTCCACCGAGGCCGCGTCCTTGGTTTGGGGGAAATTTCGAGGCTGCACATGGGTAGATTTCGCGTCCTTCAAATCCCCACAATGCTTTGCGCACGGACCAATTTCCCCAAATCTGTGGCGGAAAATGTAAGGCGGGGCCTCTCATATGACGCACACCTGCACACTTGCTAGCCTGTTCCACTCTTCGTTTTCCGAATGCCAGGAAGGATTCTTGCCTAGCTTCTGAAGGAAGTGACTCGGAAGACATGTGATACCAAGCAAGCATCCTCGCGATTGAGAAACGGCCAGAGGGTGAAAAGAGGTGCTGCAGCCCAGGCAGTATGAGAAAAATAAACGAGCTTTTTGAACATTAAAGCATGGAGACATGTCCCAGTAGAGACACTACATACTGATATACACCTGAACATCAGCAGGAGAGGACTCTTTAAAGTAGAGACACTACATACTGATATACACCTGAACATCAGCAGGAGAGGACTCTTTAAAGTAGAGACACTACATACTGATATACACCTGAACATCAGCAGGAGAGGACTCTTTAAAGTAGAGACACTACATACTGATATACACCTGAACATCAGCAGGAGAGGACTCTTTAAAGTAGAGACACTACATACTGATATACACCTGAACATCAGCAGGAGAGGACTCTTTAAAGTAGAGACACTACATACTGATATACACCTGAACATTTGCAGAGTAGGGCCCCTTTAAAATCACTGCCATTCTTAATCTTATAGATTTGACTTTAAAAGCCAATATTTGCAAGCCTTCAGTCAAAAATCCCCCTCAAGACATGCAGAGAACATTGGGAAAATATTTGATGGACCAAATGTATGTGGGTCAAACCATCAGTAGTCTGATTAATATCCAGTCCAGTTGGACTTTATTCTTGTTTGTGCATGTGTATACGTGCGAGAAACACATCTAGGAGGTCCTCATTTGGAATGGCCTGGTTAATAAAGTGAATGAGTAACAACTGTTGCAGCTGTGGGCGCTACAGGGAAGTGGATAAAAAGAGAATGAATGATATTAACGTTCAGCTTTAGTTGGAAGCATATGAAAGTTGCTGGTACCAGAAAGCCAGGAGCGAGTCGGCTCATGCTCGCTCTTTACAGTTCCTGCTACCTGGGGCCGCGGCTGACATTCATATATCAGTGTTGGCGGTCCCAGTGGCCCCGGGGCCTCGTAGCAAGAGCGTCTGCCTTTTATTTACAGCTGACAGGGCCTGTTCTGTGCGTTGTACATTAGCATACGCCTGCAAATGTCCTGATGATGACTCCCTCCAGTATTGATGTAAAGGTCAGAGGGGTGTAGTGATGACTCTGGGCTTCAGATGCTACTTGAGTGTTTGAGAAACAAGCGGCCAATTGCAACAAAACACCTTAAGAATCTACTGTATGACACTTAAGGCTTACATTGTTTCAGTGTCGTAAAAATCCCTTAATAGGTCTTGTTAGATAAGTTAAAACGATTTTACTGCATCATTTACAGTCATTTTAACCAGCCGCTGATTAATTTCTTTAGAAGCATTTTCACGGAATCATACACACTTCTTGTTGATATCACATCACATGTTAAGCTATGCAGTCATGACAGCCGGAGCAGCAGACAGAGAGAACTCACAGACTTCTTAATCTCACATTCCTTCAAACAACGTGTCTCTAAAATCTGCATCACCACGCAACCAAGTGAGAGAACAACAGCTACCCCGATTCATCCATATATGGTGGGTGCAGCTGGATGGTGGACTAATACAGGCTTCATGAGGTCTTTTCCAGCTCAGACGGATATAAGTGGAGGGATCTCAGAGAGGCCCTGCCACGCGCTTCAGCATCGGGACATTTCTTGCAACTGAATATCCTAAATCATGATTATTGACTTTTTCTTTGGCCTCTGAATGAGTCCCCCCAAATCCCGTCCCACCAAATGAACCAGCAGACCACAAAGAAAGCTCTCCAACATCGAGTGAAAGACAATCAAAGTGGCTTTTGAAACAGGGAGCTTATAATCTCATGGAGTCACGAGGGGCGTCTGGGAAGCCACTGAACTAGAACAAGGAGTCAAGCGAGCCACCGGGGGGGCCCCTGCTGCAATTTCAACCCAGCCAAGAGGCCTCGTTAGGGGCCAAACAGAGGTCAGCTGAGGCGGGACGTTGTTGAATTACCCGCAGCAAAGGTCAAATGTCTCAGGTGAGTCTCGGCGGCTTCACGGAGCTTCCCTCCTTTGTCTTGATGTCGTCCCCCTTCGCAATAAGAGCGTGGATCAGCGAGAGCTTTAATGATTTTGCAAATGTGCCGCTCAGGTACTCATGAGGGTTTATATTGAAATGGAGAAGGAGAATATCAAAGCAGGACTCTCGAGCCACGTCCACTGAGATGAAACGCCGTATAATGAGTTAACATGATGCTGTATGAGAGTGATGGATTCTCGTCAAACAGGCTGGAACAAGCATCGCAGAAAGCCAAGCAAGAAGAAGACTGGCTTGCTCAGCAAAATAAAAAAGACCATTTTTTTTTACCTAAAGAAAATGCATGAAAGATATTTTTGTGTTGTTTTTTGTCACCTTTTTAGTTCTTTTCTAGAGCTCTCATATTGGGCTGCAGTTTTCTCGCAGATTTATGCCCATTTGACAAAGCATTATCACTTTGATCTTACATCCATTTCAGCCCGATTGATGGGAGAAAGCATGTTTGCAACAGTGCATAAATCATCTCATTGGCTCTAATAAATAAGCCCGCCATTGGTCCAACCACACTCAAAATTCC